CCCTTGTATTTCAGCTTTATGGAGGTTGTTATCTTGTTTTTGAGATTCATCATGTCTATTATTGCTGTGTGTTTGGAGCAGAGTAGAACTGTACTTTGAGGTATGAATTTACCAGGCCAACTTGACTATAGGCTTTTTTAAAAATTAATTTGAAAATAATTTAATCATATATTTTAGATGCTCCTCCCCTTCCTCCTACCCCCAGATCTTCTGCCTGGAGAGATATTGTGGAGGGTAGAAAAGAGGGAGACTAAAGATAGATAAATTGGAGACCATAGGTAACAAATGACAGGGTCTGAACTAAAAAGAGAATGACTTTAGAATATATTTAGAGGATGTAATTGATAGACTTGGTTAATTGAATTAGGGGCTATATATGTTCATATTTTTAACTTAGAATGGGGGTATATGAGAAAGGTGTATGGAAAGAAAAGTAGATTTTGGTGGGACAGTGGGTCAGGAATATTAGGATGTTTTGTAAGTGCTGTTTGAAGACTAATATCTGTTTTTCCTAAAGATCTTACAGTATGTGTCTTTACTAGTGCTGCATGTCAGTGCTCATGACCTTTAAATTTATCAAATTTCCAAATCTCTTTACATGATGTTCAGTTGTAAACTTATATAGATTCCTCCTCAATATTTGGAAATATTTCCTCAGGATGTTTTCTGTCATGTACTTTACTTTAATGTCTCTTAAACAGGTATAGTTCTGGCCTTCATGAATGTTATAGTCTAATGGAGGGAAAAGACATTTATCAAATGCACAATTACAGACTACAAGTACTACTATAAGACAATCAAGTATGAGGTGCTCCGAGACAGCCTGACCAAGTCTGAGACCCAGCTTAGTGTGCAGGGTGGGTGGGTGGTATGCTGGCTGTTGGGGGAATATTTTCTTGAAGAGTGACCTTGGAGCCTGCACTCTCTGCTCTTTTGCCCTTGCATGGCTGGCTTTTCCCTACTGTTCAAGACTCAGCTATGTTATCTTCTCAGTATGACTTTTCGTGATTGCTCCCAAATTAGTATTTAGCACATCACCTTTCTTTACTTTTTAAAGAACATTTTTATTTTAAATTACCTAATTTATGCTTATTAGATATTTCAGCCATCTAGAATATAAGTACCACAAGTATAGGGACTTTTTCTTCTCTTTTTCTTACTTGTGCCCTGAATGCTTAGAAGATTTCCTGACTTTCTTGAACTTAAGTTCTCAGGAGAATGATTAAATGATTGCATAAATGAAGGTCCTTGGAGACTGAGCTCTTACATAGTTGCCCTAGTAGTTTGTATCTACTTGTCTTTAATGTGGTGTTTGGGAGGACTCCTAAAGTTGGCTTTCTGCTTGATCTTTATTCTGTCCTGTTGACCTGATCCTTGACACACAGTGTTCTGATGGGGATTGCCATAGTGATGGGCATGTGACTGTTTCAATCAGGGTCATTCTTCTAAGTACTTCATATTGAAAGGAAGAAAGAGGGACACTTAGGTTGCAGAGTGTGTGATGTGAATCTGGAGCTATTGGTGACTGTATCCACATTCCAGTAGAGAAGGCCAATCTGCAAGAGGAGAAAATGAAGCCATGACACAGACAGGAGTAGAAATGGGAGAGGGAAAGAGAGTCCTGGTAATTTTCTGGTCTCTGCTTCATTTGTGCCTGAGACTTAATCACAACCCCTGGTTTTTCCATGACTTTTGCCTTACCCAGTTCAAATTGAATTTCTGTCACTTAGAGCCAAAAGATTCCTAATTAAAACAGTATACAACTTTATTTTCACTTTAAATTGTACCTCAACTAACCTTTTCATCTTGTGCATTTTAGATAATATGGTTAAGTATTGATCTGTTGCATAGTTTCTTATTTCAGAAACACATGTTTTCTGCCTCCCTTCCCCCTTTTATTTCTTTTAATGCAAAGAAATTGCTTCCTGAATTTATTCTGCTTCCAATACTATTTTGTTTTAGTACTGTGTACTCTTTCCTTTATTTTCAGAATTACATTGGTCGGAAGTGAATAGATGCCATCTTATTATTACTATTGTTTATTTAACTGTGGAAGCAGTTTTACTGGGTACTTCTTAGATTTTCAACTTTGATGCTTTAAAACAGCCATTATTGAGTACTGAGCATCTCTAGGGTGACAGAGCAGCAGCCACAGTAGTGGCAGAACTTGGTAAGATGCTCACTCAGGTGATTTATTCCCTATTTCTGGTAAGCTGCTCTGGCCCAAGCTGCCTGGTGCTGCTGCCTGCTACCTTAGGAAGAAGCCCTGGTCTTCCATGGGGAGTCTACACCCCTGTAGCTGCTTTCCTGCTTGGTATATCCCTCCTTGTCCATTAGAACTGTTGATCTGCCCTCAACCCCACCAGTCCTCTATAAATAGCATATTCTACTTGTTCCATAATTTCTAATTTCTAGTTAGAGATTTTTCAAAAAATTATGTTAGATCAAACAACTGTATTAGACAGCTAAATTATAAATTGGTCATCAGTATTTTTCATCAATCTGGTTTCATTTATATTCTATCAAGGAGAAAATTGGGGACTTTTTGGTAATTTGTTTCTTTCTTTGGATCATTGACTTAGTAAATACTTATTGAGCATATGCTCTATGGCTTCCACTCTCCAGATACTGTTACTAGTTTCTAGAATGAGACTTCTGTGCCTTCGTGGAGCTTATATTTTAGATGAGGAAACAAGAAGTAAACAAATAAATATGCAGTACTAGGCAGTAAAAAGTGCCAGGGTGAAAAAGCAGGGTGAAGGAATAGAGAGGGATGGGTAGGGCCATTTCAGAGAGAGTAGACAGAAGTGGCTGTGAGGAGATGGAGGTTTAAGTAGAGACCTGAGTGAATCAAGGATCTAGCCATGCAAAGAGTTCATGGCAGAAGCAGCAGCAACACAGGGCTGTAGGAGCTGAAGATAGTAGTTGCAGGATAAGGCACCAGGGTGGCTGAATTAGGGGGAGGGACTGGGGAAAGGGAAGGAGACAAGCTCCAAAAGTTAAGAATATGAAAATAAAATAAATAAATTAATTAATAAAAATACAATAATTATACCTTCAAAAAATGTGAAAATATATTTTCATGCCTCCAAAATCAAATTGTCAATATCCAAGGGAAGATAGTGTCTGACACATTGTACCCAGTGGATAAAATTCACAGCAGACACTAGAGTAGGATGCTCCTATCTTTCTTGTCTTTCATGTGATACTGGGTGGTAACCCAAAAACGTGGAATTTTTTTGTTAGGAACTATAAAAATCATAGGAAATTAAGGATGTTTAGAATGCTAGGGTTGAAGCAGTTAAAAAAGAAGTTTGGAAGGAAGAAATGACTGTGAAGTGTGATATTAGATAAAGTAATCTTGGGAAAGATGGCAATATGAACAAAGGTTTCTGACACTGTCCTTATTAATCCTTAATGAAGCCTCTGGCAGTTAGAGAACATCTTTGGCCTCCATTATCTAAATATATCCTGTATTTGACTATTTCTCACCACTTCCACTGCTAGTAAATTATAGCTGGAAATGTTAATACTTTCATTCATCACACATGGAGCCCAAAGTGAACATTAGTGGATTTTTAGGGGCTTTTCAGAAGGCATGAGATGTTTCTGAGAGTTGGTCCTGAGATGTGGAGAAGTGAGTGATTTCCTTTATTATTTCTCATGGAGAGGGTTAAGAATGACACCTATACCTCATATTTGAACGATTCATAGATGATGGTGTACTTTTATATCTGTGAAGCAGATTGAACGCATATGTTTGTACTGCCTTTTTGGTAGATTCAGGGCTAGACAGGCCACCTGACTGGCTCACACTCAGTGGTTAAGGGCAGAACCATTGCTAGAATTCAGGTCTTTAATTGTGCTCTGTCAATTTTAATAACAACACCACATTGTTTCATAGAATATTATGTCAAAGAAAAGCCAGTTTCACTTCTTTTCGTGTCCCATCCCTATTATTCCTTTCTAAGGAAAGGATATTAGCAGTGTTGTCATTACCCAGTTTGCCTGCCTGCCTGTCTACACATCCATCTGTCCTAATCTGTTTGTTTGTACTGCTATAACCAGTTGCAGACTGAATAATTTATAAAGCACAGAAATTAGAGGCTGCGGTTGTGGCTCAGTAGTAGAGAGCTTGCCTCACACGTGTGAGGCACTGGGTTCCATCCTTAGCACTACATAAAAATAAATAAATAAAATAAAGGTATTATGTCCTTCTACAACTAAAAATATTAAAAAAAAAAAAGCACAGAAATTAATTCTCTCACAGTCATGGAGACTGGAAGGGCCAGGGTTGAGGCACCAGTAGGATTAGTTCTGGTTAGGGCTGCTCTCTGCTTCCAAGACACTGCTTTGGTTCTGCAACCCCCACAGGGGAGGGGCCCTGTGTCTTTATGTGGGGGAAGGCAGAGGTAAGCAAGAGACTACTTGCCTGAAGTCTCTTTTATAAGGGCTTTGATGCCAGTTGTGAGGGAGGAGCCATCACGGCCTAATCACATCTCAGAGGTGTTACCCCCTAATACTATCTCATTGGCAACAGTGGAATTTTGGAGGGGACACATTCAAACCATTGCAGAGTGTGGATTTCTCTATCTACAGCTGTCTTCCATGTCCCTACACAGTGGGTTGTTTCCCCTGCTCATTACAATGTATATGACTTCAGTCTTTAGCCGTATGTTGTCATATATCTAGGTCAGTACATCTAGATCTAATTAATACCTTTCCTTTGTATGCCTATATTGTTGGATTTATTGCAGAGTATTCGTGGTTTTTAAAAAGAAAATTCAATATTTAATATGTATGATATAATTCATCATAGATTAATAATTTATTTATTTCTTAAAATATATGAAAAGAAGTATAGTGACAGTTTTTATTTGCTACAGGTTTTACCACTTTTGGTCACAATATTATTTTTCCTTAATGATCTTAAGAATAAAAGTGAATTATATCATTAACCAGTATTTTCTTTTCTAAGCAAATTCAATGTTTTTTTTCAGGTTATCATATCCGGGAAAAGTCTAAGCAAGTCATAACATTGCTAATGGATGAACAGATGCTGTTTAAAGAGAGGGAAGTGGCATGTCGGACTAGACGACGCACTTCCTACTCCATGACATTTCCTAAAAGATTACCTAGTACAGGTAACTCACCAACAGCATGTGCATCTGCCCCCACACCAGAAATTCCTGCTTCAGAGAAGAAGCACCAGCTTCTTAAGGTGGCAAGACTACGTAGTAAAAGTGCGTATAATGAATGCTGGTCTAAAATGCAAAAGATATCATCTAAGAACAGTTTAAAAATATAAAATATTTTAGTACTAAATTATTATTATTATTATTAATTGGTATGTGCATTTGAACCCAGAGGCACTTAACCACTGAGCCATATCCCCAGCCCTTTTTTGTATTTTATTTAGAAACAGGGTCTTGCTGAGTTGCTTAGTGCCTCATTTTGCTGAGACTGGCTTTGAACCCGTGATCCTCCTGCCTCAGCCTTCCAAATTGCTGGGATTACAGGCATGCACCACCATGCTTGGGGCAAATTATTAATACTATATTAGTACTAATATTATGATATCAGACTTTATACTATAGAGAACAAAGATGAAGAATATGTAATAGAGTATTTCATGAATTCAGATTGCTTTTATCTTAGAGTCAAATAAAATGTTTTTGAGCTTAAATAACATTAACTAGTGACTATTCTATTTGACATCATGAGTCAATTTTAATTTATTTGATTAATAACTGGAATGTGAAAGAGTACTGTTTTCTAAGATCTGTGTCTTGGCATATGTACACAACACCATCTGATCCTATACATCAAGAAACTGACATTTCCTAAAGTACACCTCACAACTCTAAAAATAATCCAAACATTCTTCCAGGGTAATACTTAGGACCTTTCATTTTGCCTTAAACTTCAAATTTAGACTATTGAACTTTTTTAAAAAGGGAGTTATTTATAATACTATAATAAAAATCAGGAGAAAATAAAGTGATCTTTTCTAACAAATTGATAGAATATAAAGGAATATTATTTTGCCCTAACTTATCTAATACAAACTTTGTTGGTAGGTTGTACATAAGGAATGGACAGTTTGAGGAAGCAAAAATATTAATGAAGTATGAATTTGATAACTGTCCTCCACCAGGTGACCAGAATGCTGGTTTCATTAAAGAGGTTCATGGCATAGAAGTTAACTAGTGAGGTCAAAATAAAACACACAGACTCAATTACCTTTTTCTATGACCAGGTCCGAGACGGCTCTCACCTCTCTGGCTATCACCTCGAACCACCCAGTGGGGCAACAAGGCTTACTCAGGGCTAGCAGGAGAGAGAGAGAGAGCACGCCAGGGAGTGGCCTTTTATTGGGGAACAAGAAATTCAGGGGAAAATTCCATCCAATGAAGGTCCAGGGGGGCAGCATTCCAAGGTCAGGGTCACTGATTGGCCTCAGGGTCAGTGGTCAGTCACACCCCCACACGGACAGGCTGTTGCACCTGGAGAGGGTGGGGATAGCTCCAACAATGTTTGGCCAGAACGCCTCACACCCAATCCGGGAGGTGTCCAATCACGTGCGAGAATGGCTTCCCACACTGACCCTTGAAAGGAATTAAGCTTGGTGCCACAAATGAGGACACAGTAGGAGTAGGGGTTTGCCTCCTAGTTTTACATGTGAGTCTGTGGTTATGGACTGAGTGTTTGTGCCGCTCCCTGCCACCAAGTTCATTTGTTGAACTCTAATCCTCAGTGTAACGAGGTGATGGCCCTGGGAGATGATTAGGCCATGAGAGTAGAACCCTCATGAATGGGATTAGTGCCCTTATGAAAGAGACCCCAGAGAGCTCCGCTCACCCTCTTTTTGGTGTTGGAAGTTACAACAAGTAGGAAGTCTGTAACCCAGAAGAGGGTTCTTCCCAGAACCTGACCATGCTGTCACCCTGATCTCATACTTCTAGCCTCTAAAACTGAAAGTCTGTTTCTTTAAGTCACCCATTTTATGGTACTTTGTTATTAGCTGCCCAAGCAGACTAAGACATCTATTAAGATCCTGAAGCTGGGCATGGTGTTGCATGCCTGTACTCCAAGCAGCTGGGAGGCTGAGACAGGAGGATTGCAAGTTCAAAGCCAGCCTTAGCAATGGTGAGGTGCTAAGTAACTCAGTGAGACCCTGTCTCTAAATAGAATAGGGCTAGGGATGTGGCTCAGTGATTGAGTGCGCCTGAGTGCAATCCCCAGTAACAAAAAAAAAAAAAAAAGAAAAAGGAAAGAGATGCTGGTAGTCAATATAAATAGCTCATTCCAAGTGTCAGTTAAATGTGGAAATTTAAAAATGTTATTAGTAAAATCAATACAAACCAATCCTATCCCCCCCCCCAATCTGACTTAGTCAAGAGTTCTTACATGTTCATTCAAGACTTATTTATGGATTGGAAAGTAGAAAGGCATTCAAAGAAGTCGCCATTGTAATTATAACAATAAATGCCATCCAGATGCTTCTTAAAGTAGTGGAACTTCTTTAAGGGACCCTTTTCTTTTGAAATAAATCTCCAAAAGAGATAGTGACCCATTCTGAAATTTTCTCATGAAGGTTTGAATTCAGACTGACATGAACAGCAGAGTAAAATAACCAATTATGACTCATCCAGAGTTTCTTATCCCTTTGTTACTTCTTTATCACCTTCTTGTTCTTCCTTCTTCCATTACTTGTCTCATTTCCTTCCTCTTTTATTATAAACACATAATTATTGAATGTTATTATTTGAAATTTAGATACCCAGCAGAAATTTGGAACTATAGCAGTGAATGAGATAAAGTTCCCTTCAAAGCCAAGTATGGAGGGCATGTACCTATAATCCCAGCTATTAGGAAGGCTGAGGCAGGAGGATCACTTGAGCCCAGGAGTTTGAGCCCAGCCTGGGCAATATAGCAAGACTTCATCGCCAAAAAAAAAAGTTCCTTTAATTGTGGAACTGTCACTTTAGTGACAGAGACAGATACTAAACGCACATAAACAAAATAGATATAAAATATAACAAGTCTTATAAAGAAAGGGAAAATAGGGTCAGGGAACAGAGCAACAGGGATAGCTGTGTTTTAGGGTAGGTAGAGAGGGGAGGCCTTCTGGAGGAGCTAAGTATTTAAACAGACCTGGAGGGTAGTATAGGAGTAATCCATGCACAGCAGGCAAATGCTTTGACACTAGAGCAGATGTGGCATGGGAAGTTGTGAGCTTAGGAAGTGAGTCCCTAAATCACTATAGTGCTTACTCATTTCTGAGCCATTTTTATGAGCTTATAGTTATAAGATTATAACTATAGTTTATTGCCTTGTAGTCCTAGATTGAAGCTTTTTTTTTTTTAACCCAAAATGATACTCCGCAGCTTTATGACACATCTTATTTACCAGGCTGAGCTCTGAGTGATTTTTAACATTTAAAAAAATCATATTTTGTCACAATTTATTTGTTTAATACAATAAACGTGCATTGAAATAAATAAATAGCCCTTACTGCCTTCCAGATACTGTCAGACACTTTTCTAGGGAAGGTAAGTAAATTGGGGGTATTTTTGCTCTCATGGAAGTTATATCTTGAGGTACGCTGTGTACTTTCAAGTCTGTTTCACATAAAAATTTTTCCAAGAGTGTTTTGGCCCATGATGTTATCATTGAATTAAATCTATATAAAGTACTACTTAGAGTGAATAGTGAATGTTTGGATGTAAAGGCACAGAAAACATACATTAGCGAAAAGATAGCCTCTTCAACAAATGCTGCTGGGAAAACTGAAAATCCATGTGCAGCAAATTGAAATTAAGCCACTTTCTCTCACCTTGCACAAAACTTAAAGTGGATCAAGGACCTAGGAATTAGATCAGAGACCCTGTGCCTAATGGAAGAAAAAGTAGGCCCAAATCTTCATCATGTTGCATTAGGTCCTGACTTCCTTATCCTAAAGCACAAGAAATAAAATCAAGAATTAATAAATGGGATGGACTCAAACTAAAAAGCTTCTCAACAAAGGAAACAATAAAAATAATGTGAAGAAAGAGCCCACAAAGTGGGAGAATGACTTTACTACATGCACATCAAATAGAGCACTAATTTCCAGGATATATAAAGAGCCAAAAACTCAACACCAAAAGAATAAATAACCCAATCAATAAATGGGCTAAGGAAATGAACAGACACTTCACAAAAGATATATAGTCAGTCAACAAATATATGCAAAAACATTCAACTTCACTAGTAATTAGAGAAATGCAAATCAAAACTACTCTAATATTCCATCTCACTTCAGTCAGAATGACAATTATCAAGAATACAAGCAACAATAAGTGTTGGCAAGGATGCGGGGGAAAAATGTACACTCATACATTGCTGGTGGGACGGCAAATTGGTGCAATCACTCTGGAGTTGCAATCTGGAGTTGGAGGTTCCTTAAGAAAGTTGAAATGGAACCACCATTTGACCCAGCTATCCCACTCATGAGTCTATATCCAAAGGACTTAAAATCAGCATACTGTAGTGACAGAGTCACATGAGTATTTATAGAAGCTCAATACACATTAGCCAAACTGTGGAACCAACCTAGATGCCCTTCAATAGATGAACAGATAAAGAAACTATGATATATAAACACAATGGAATATTACTCAGCTTTAAAAGAGAATAAAATTATGGCATTTGCAGGTAAATGGATGAAGTTGGAGAATATCATGCTAAGCGAAGTAAGCCAGTCCCCCAAAACCAAAGGCCAAATGTTCTCCCTGATATGTGAATGCTGATCTATAATAGGAGGTGGCATGGGAGGAGTGGAGGAACTTTGGGCAAAGGGAAGGGAGGAGCAGGGAGAGGACATGGGGTCAGGAAAGATGATGGAATGAGACAGACATCATTACCCTAGGTACATGTATGACTGCACATATGATGCAACTCTACATTGTATACTACCAGAGAAATGAAAAGCTGTGCTTCATTTGTGTACAATGAACCAAAATGCATTCTGCTGTCACATATAACTAATTAGAACAAATAAAAAAATTACTGTAAATTAGTTTAAAAATCTGTTAAGATTATTTGTATTTTATCTATTCATTGTCTATCTGGTAGATGCATAGATGTATATTTTTGTGTTCAGAAAAGAGTAACTAAGTTAGAGCTGGGGTTGTAGCTCAGTGACAGAGCGCTTGCCTTGAATGTGTGAGGCACTGGGTTCGATTCTCAGCACCATATA